CACTTAATTGATATAGTTTTTATTCACGGCTTTGTCACATTGATATCGACCCTAAAAGTGTAATAAAAAGTATATATATTAAATTTGATTCGTCACTGAAATTAAAAAGTGATCCGTTTCGTTGCAAACTTCCAATGTAGTCAAACCTTTTGTTTGTGTGTCTATCTGCATATTGCTTATATTTTGTTTANGCTGCTGCTGCTGCTGTTGTTATTGCTGCTGTTTTTGTTGCTGTTGTTGCTGCTGCTGTTGCTGCTGCGTCTGTTGTTGTTGTTGTTGTTGTTGCTGCTGCTGCTGCTGCTGTTGTTATTGTTGTTTTCTACCTTTTTTGTTCTACCCAGAGTGCACACAACGAACCCCAATAAAGAGCATCCTGTTACTTCCGTTGGAAACTTTTCGTTGAATAGGCTTGCATTGACACTTATAGATAACAGAACATGTTTAAATGCCAGTGTATTGGACAACAGCGTTGTGGAGCTTGGAATTCAAAAAGTGTATTTCATAAACTTAACGATCTTCGATCGCGATATAAGACATGTCAAATATAAAGAAAATGAAAGGACATTGAAAATAACCATCATAGATGACGATAAAGGTATGTTATTTATAATATAATGATATAATAAATAGAGGATATTACATGGGCGCGCGGAGATACGAATTTTATCTTCGAGTGTTGAAAAAATCTCTCACGAGTGAGCGCAGCGAACGAGTGAGAGCTTTTCAACACGAGAAGATAAAATTCGTATCTCCAAGCGCCCATGTAATATTCTGTTTATTATATAATTGTCAATGAAGTATGTTTTGGCTTTTTCAGGCAATTCTTTCCGTGTATTTTTGAATAGCCATCGCAATGGTGTTATTTTCACACGTGAAAATAACATGTTACTTTCACGTGTGAAGATATCGATTTTTCGAAATAGAGAAAAATAGATATTTCATTGGTAATTATATAATAATATAACATAATTTATAAAGCGCATATCCAGGATTCCTTTAGGAGGGTCGTTTAATAATCCTTTTCATAGTTTGAGAATCGATTCCACTGCGCATGCGATTTTATCCGAATTTCTCACCTTCTTTTGTCTAAACCTTCTTTTGTTCTTAATTAAACAAAAGAAGGTGAGAAATTCGGGATAAAATCGCATGCGCAGTGGAATCGATTCTTAAATATACAAAGGCTTATACTGTCGAACTGATACGGATCGTCAGTGTAGCTCTGTGAAATTCATTGATATGCATAAAACATGCATATCATTAGTTGTGTGCACTTGACCTTTCACTGTTACCTTGTGTGAAGTGCTTTTGTCACCGTCTGTGTAAAATGGTTATGGTCACCCTGTGGTGGTGAATACCTTACTTTCACCATCGCACAGAATTGCCCATCAACTCTGGTCATTTCCAAATAAGAGATATTATGTGAAGAATGGGGAAGCATTTTTTAAAGAAGCACTGTAATATCTTCATACTATTAAAAGGATTTGAAAAAAAGTTTGAAAAAACGATTAAAAATATTTTTAAAGCAAAATTCGCGGGCATTTTCTCCAAATTAGGTACCAGTCTCCACTCCGACAGCTTCTCGAACCAGCACCAAAATATATGCTGAGTTCGTGAGCAAATTTTTCCGTTTTAAAGCGAGATCTGGAGACGAAATTGTGGATATTGAACAATATAGAGGCCAGGTTTCTAGGGCTATACAAATGGCGGTAGACGGATGATTTCTTATATCAAAAAGAGCACTGTAAAGTCGTCACTTTGGACTGTTTTGCTTTGTTGGGTCAAAGTTAAAACTCCTGAAAAATCGCTACTTGCTTTCAGCTTCAAAGAGAGCTGGATTTTGGAAGCAATTAAGCAATGGTTGAGCAACCAATTTCAGTTGTTACTTTGAATTATTTTTTTTCACAACCATCATCAGAACCAGAACAAAGTGCAGGAATGATAAATTTCCATACATATAAACACTACGAAACCTGCAATTGACCCACAAAAAATCGCATGTTGGCAAATTGAATCACCAAAATAAATGGTAAGCTTGTGTGGTTGTCATTCTTTAATATTCCTGTGTTACCTTTCTTGCATTAACTTTCGATTTTCTTCACGAAGCGCTTAAACTTTGAATATTATGACTTTGCCTTTGTAGCGGACATCTTCTTGCATTCGGTGGGGACATCGATTCAGTAAAGGGTACACAATGCAAAACGCTCGTCGATTATATCAGCGATTTAATTCTCAATAATCTTGATGTTCTTCAGTTATTTCATTCACAATAGACAGATTTATAATTACGAGGTTCACTAGAAATAAAAAGTTACAAATTAAAAGCCTATATCTTACGGAAAATCAAATATAATCTTAACATACCATATGGTGTACGTATTACGATCGCTTGCTGCCTGTCCCGGCTTACATCCCATAATTTTCAACTCATGAATATTAATAACCTACGCTAATTAAGAAATCAAATAATTGTCGTCTACATTACTGGCCCCAAATGAGGCATTTCTTATGGATCATTTCTTAAATCATTGTCCTGGCGACAATAACAAATTAATTTGAGTTCATAGCTCAATTTTCAATTAACTCAACAATGTTCTTGTGTACTTCGCTAACAGTTCTTCTTTGACTCTTGATGCTTTAATCAACTCCTTCCAGCAAGCACAATTTGTGAATGGGACGGACCAACTCTGTCTTAGACGTCTTGACTCTTGCGGAGCGTATAAGTCCCTCCCTTGCCTTGTAAACTTCTAGTACACTTGCCAGAGGCCACTGGCCCCGTTTAACGGTCTCGTCCACCACCAAAACAACATCACCTTCCGCTAGGTTTCTTTGTGGGGAGATCCATTTCTGCCTCAATTGTAAAGTTGGTAGGTACTCTTTGAGCCAACGGCGCCAGAACAGATTGGCTAGATATTGACACTGTCTCCATCGACGTCTTCCATAGTTATCAGAAGCCTTGAATATACCTAGAGGCAGTGGCGGATCCAGGGTGGTTCCGTGGGTTCCATGGAACCCCCTTGTTGTGAGAACTTGGGAAGCTAATCTTGCTCTTTCCACTCATTACAATGAAATTTAAACCCCCTTTTGTGAAGCTAATCTAAGCAGCTTTTTCTGGGTTGCGGCCAATTTGGAACCCCCCCTTCTTAAAATGCTGGATCCGCTACCGAGAGGCATACTCGCTCCTGGACGCAGTAACAGGATATGGTTAGGCGTTAAAGGGGAGTCGTCCTTTGGATCATCACTGCAAGTTGTCAACGGCCTACTGTTAAGAATGGCCTCCACTTGCGTCATTAAAGTCAACAGGACTTCGTCTGTAGTAACTTGCTCCCTCAACAGGGCCCTTAACACGGACCTTACAGATCTTATGATTCTCTCCCATATTCCACCCATGCTGCTGGCTCCTGGGGGATTAAACTTCCAGACGATTTCTCTCTGTTTTAGGAAACTCTCGATCTTCTGAACATTCCATTCTTGTAAAGATTTGCGTAGCTCTCTCTCACCACCCTTGTAGTTAGTGCCATTGTCGCTTCTGATTTCGATGGGTCTTCCTCTGCGATTCATGAACCGCTGCAACGCATTGATGAAGGAATCTGCTTCTAAGCTATGAGCAACCTCTAGATGTACGGCTCGCGATGTTAAACAAGTGAAAATGCATCCGTACCGTTTCTCTGTGCTCCGACCTTATTTCACTAAGAATGGACCAAAGAAGTCTGTTCCGACAAATGAGAATGGTGGTTCGTCAGGGGTGGGTCTGTCAACTGGTAAGTTTGCCATCCGTTGGGATATAGGCGGGGCCTTACGTCTTTGGCAGTCAAAGCATTTCGTCAGCACACGTCTAATTAGGGATCTTGCGCTTACTATCCAATATCGCTGTCTTACAAGGACCAGCAGGTGTTCTCTTTCTTGGCCGTAAAGTTGGTGATAATGTCTAATAACAAGCTCGCACACAGGGTGGTTCTTCGGTATAATTGGTGGATGTTTGGCTGCATCAGAAATCGGGGCGTTCTCTAAGCGGCCTCCAACTAATAAAACTCCTCCTTTAAGCACCGGGGCTAGTCTCCCTCGCATCCGTTTTTAGTGTCGGTCGTCACGCAACGCTCCCTCCCCACAAATGGCTGCTTGCATTCGAACTACATTCCTTTCTCATTGTTTGGCCAATCACAAGACGGGTTACATATTTAGAGAACCGTTCGCGGAATTTTGATTTGACCAATCACCGTGCAGGTTTTATTTCGCATTCTCAACTCGTTCATAAAAGAAGTGTACATGCATGTTTGGCCTCGTGTCTTCAAAGTTCGGTATTCCTGATCTAAATGCGCATCAGAAGTCGGCTATCAAAACTTTAGTCGAAGAGAAAAAAGATATTTTTGTCAATCTTCCAACAGGGTTTGGCAAATCTCTTATTTACCACTGAAGCTCTGCCTCTCGTATTTGACTACAAATATACACTAGAGTCTGGTCACATAGTGGTTGTTGTGTCTCCTTTAATTGAGACCTTTAGATCCGACGACGAGTACGAGAACGAGTCCGAGTTAAAACTTTTAATGATTGGTAGTCTTGATCGCGTATAAAATAGATTGAAACTTTAGATTGTAAAAAATCGGAAATCGACTACGATTTAGCGTTACTCGTACTCGTACTCCTCGTCGTATCTAAAGGTCACTAATACGTCTAATGAATGACCAAGTCTCAAAGTTACGTAGTTTAGGAGTTAGTGATGTGAAGTTAAGCTCACTAGAAGAGAAGAACGGTGTGAAGTCGAAAAAGGCGAATATTCCGCACCGATTTCTTTTGAGGATGTTCTTCGGCAGCTCGATTGAAACTCACCATGTTTATACTTTCAGACACTGTGATTGGCTCAATAGGAAACAATACGCTGGACCTCATTGGTACGATCAAAACAATGAGAAAGGAATGTAGTTCGAATGCAAGCAGCCGTTTGTGGGGAGGGAGCGTTGCGTGACGACCAACACTAAAAACGGATGCGAGGGAGACTACACCGGGGCTAGCTTGAAAATGCAACTTGCCTTTGGTAGGGGTTTTTCTCTTGTGGAAACTTTGACTTTCGACTTCTCAATCTGTTTGCTCAAGATATTCACTTCCTTTGTGAAGGCTTGACCTCGTACATCCTTGATAATTGCAACTTCTGCTTCTCGAATCTCTTTCACAGTTATTCTTCCTCTTGTAGCAGGCTTAACTTCAATATCGTGCTTTGACCTTCTGAATTTGTTTACGAAGTAGTTTCTGAATCTCAGCATCCAGGCAATGGCCACCTTTAAGCGATACCAATCAGAGAAGTGCTCGTACATTCGTTGCAGGAAGTGCTCTGAGTCCCTTTGCTGTGCCATATAGACCTGTCTCTCTCGCTTTACTTCTGGGTCGTCACTTGGTACCTCAGATAGCTTGAGAACTGATGCTGGCCACGAATCTTGGCCTTTCCATAAAAACTCAGGGCCTCACAACCATCGCCTTCCTTCCCCTCCTGTCATCTTCTCCGCGGTCAAACCTCTGGACGCATCATCTGCTGGATTGTCTTTGGTATTCACATATCTCCACTGCTTGGGGGTAGAACCTTCATGAATGATAGCAATCCGATGTGCCACGAAGATGTTGAATCGTCTTGAGAAGTTTGTTGATGAATTGAAGCACTGTTGTAGAGTCAGTCCAGAACGTCGACTCAGTCAGCGGCAGATCTAGCTCGGTTGTTAACATCTTATCAATTTTGACTGCCACAACGGCTGCCGATAACTCTAAGCGGGGAATGGTCACAGGTTTTACAGGAGCGAGCCTTGACTTCCCGTTCAGAATTGAACAATGCACTTCCCCATTAATGTCAACCATCCGCAGGTACGATACGGTGCCATAAGCTGACTGGGAAGCATCTACGAAATGGTGCAATTCATAGGTGACGATGTCTCCAAGGTCAGGTGACTTCACGCATCTCGGTAGCTTCACATTTGACAGTCTTGGTAGGTCTTCTAGCCATCTCTTCCACTCAACGAGGTTGTGCTCAGGGATTGGGTCATCCCATTTTAGTTGCTGTCTACAAAGTTMTTGCAAGATTAGCTTGGCTAACAGGACGAATGGAGCAGCGATACCCAATGGATCATACACAGAACTCGTTATAGATAACATACAATACAATACAATACAATAAAGGTTTATTCCAAATGCAACTAAATAGTTTTACACAAATATATTAAAAGGCTTAAAGCATAAAGCGGGTACATAACAATAGCAAAATAAATAAATAAATAGGCATCCAGAAAGGAAGTTAAGAGGTTAGCCCTATGTGAAAACTCCCTATAATGAAATTGCAACAACGAATAAACAGGCAAGCGAATTGAACTATAAAATATATGCATATACGAAAAGGATAAATACGAATAAATGCAAGAAACAAAATCAAATACGTATTAATTCATAAATAGAATGTGATTCAGAAAGAAAGAAATATGAATAGATAAAAAGTATTGAAAAATAGGTGACATTATATGTATATATCAAAACGTATCGAAAGTGGCGAACAAAATCTATATTTAGATACCAAGGCCTAAKTAGCTACTTAAGTTATTCTTGAAGGCAGATAAGGTGCCCGCTTCTACTATGTTTGCTGGCAAGTCATTCCAATTCTTAGCAATTCTGATAAAAAAGGAGTATTTGAAAGAATTTACTTTAGCACCTTTAATGTAGAGTTTGTAAGGGTGATTACTTCTAGTTTACTTGACCTTAGAAAATTCTAAAAAATCGTCAAATTTAAGGTGACCTATTCCAAAAACTACYTTGTAACACTCTATTAGTGATAAATAATGTCTCCTTATGGAAAGCTTAGGCCATCCCAGTAGCTTGCATCTATCATCATATGGCATTTCGCCCCTCTTTTGGCGAAGGGCGAGTCTGGACGCCCTGCGCTGAACTTTTTCTAGAGCATGAATGTCTTTGACTAAGTAAGTGTTCCAAACAGGTGCTGCATATTCCAGGATAGGTCTGACAAGAGAAATGTATAACATTGAGAAGGTGTCCTTGTTGGCAGTTCCAACAGAACGTTTGATGATTCCAAGTACTTTGTTAGCTTTGTTGACTGTGATTTTAACGTGAGTACCCCAAGACAAATCACGGGTTACAGTGACGCCTAGGTCTTTGAAGCTATCAACATCTTTAAGTAGAGTAGATCCAAGAGTGTAGCTTGTTGAGGATTTATCTCTAGAGTGGGTAATCCGCATACTTTCACACTTTTCAGCATTGAACCTAAACTGCCATGTTCTGGCCCACTGGTTTAGGCTATTAAGGTCAGACTGTAGAGCAGGTATGTCGGTCTTATCACCTTTGATAGCTCTGTAGATCTTACTGTCGTCCGCATAGAGTTTTGCAGTAGATGAGATGTGGTCGGTGATGTCGTTTATGTACACTAAGAACAGGATTGGGCCCGAAATCGTTCCTTGAGGCGTCCCAGAAGATACGGGTGGCCATTCAGAGAAAGTACCCCTGATTCGAACTCTTTGAGTGCGACCCGTAAGAAAATGTCTAAACCAATCCAGAAGACGACCATCGATGCCATTCGTATACAATTTCAACAGCAGTCTCTCATGGGGGACACTATCAAAAGCTTTTGCTAGGTCCAGGAACAGGATATCAATCGGAATACGAGAATCCCTTGACCGAGCCCAATTATATAGCGCCTTATAAAGCGCCTTTTTTCTTTTACATAAGCGTAATAGATCTTTAGTTATCCAAGGGGCGTTAGATCTTCTTTTTACTTTTATTTTCGGGATATATTCGTCAATAGCGCTCATCAGCAGATCTTTCCAGGAAGTCCAGACATCATTAATATCATTCTTGAGAAAGCGCAGTGCCAAGGGATGTATGATAGGGTAGACTTTAACTGCTTCCAATCAGCTTTCTTGAAGCAATAAAGATATTTGAGTGACTTAAGTTGGACAAAGGGCTGACCAGTTAAATTAAATGAGATTGAATTGTGATCTGAAAAAGGTTCTCCAACTTCAAGGTTGTCTATAATGTCCGGTGTAGAGGTCAGAACTAGATCTAGGATATTGTTGTTCCTTGTAGGCTGATGGACAAGCTGAGTCAGGAAATTATCGTGGAAAACGTCTATTAGAGTGCTGTAATTTTCAGAGTCACATAAAATAAAGCAATATCGAGAGTCCAATCGAAGTCCGGCAAATTGAAGTCGCCCACCAGGACAATCTCCGAGGACGACAAATTTTGTAGAACAGATTGCAGATCAAGTAGTGGTTGGGTACAAGAGTTAGGAGGTCTATAAAAAAACCCGATCGTTGTCGTGCGTTGATTTTTAAACATCACGTCTATGAATAAAAGTTCAGAATCGCACTGTGGAATATCACGAGGATATGATTTAGTAGGTTCACGTAAAACAATCAAAATACCACCACCAAGACGACCATTAATCTTGCGATCTCGTCTAAAGACGAATAGTTATCAGGAAAAATCTCTGCATCAGCAATGGAATTATCCAGGTGTGTTTCCGTGAGAATAATTAAATCATATGCTTTTTCTCGAATTTCCAAGGCAAGGGATGTGATCTTGTTAACTATGTTCCTCGCATTGGCATAGAAGACAGATAACTCGGTATTCTTGTACTGCCTACCTGTAATCGGCGCATCAGGTTGTTCGTTTTGTCCGATTTGAGGACCAGGATTAACTGAGATGTCCATGAATATAGTGATGTCGATAGATTGATGCATATCTGGAGGAGAGAGGCAAGTATAACCATGTTTGTTCCAGGAGCAAGTGCAATGGCGAAGCTTCGAAGGACGACTATGTAAAATACTTCTTGATCTGAAAAGTCTATATTCGATAGAGAATACATATTTACTCCGAGTGATTTTCAAGACTTGTGAGTCGCCGTAGGAAGACTTATAGATTGATTTATAGTGGAAGTTGGTAGCTAGATAAGCGTAGGTAAGCAAATAAATCAGATAAGTTGCGTAGACCATCCACACATGACTGGTCATCGCCGCCATCTTTCTTAGTTTTCAAAAGTTTTCTTTCGAGAAATAGAAACTTAGTTGATCCTGATTACGATCACATGGTGGTCGACTTCCAAAGGTGTTTGTTCTTTTGAGGTAATCGGCTAAGAAATGTTGTCATTTATAACGGGAGTTTGCTTTGCTTTGCGACATCCCACGTCTTGTAAGAGACCTTTCCTTTACCTGTGTCTTAAATCCGATGCAATCTTTCTCGACATCCCATTCAACTCCTAAGGCTCTTTCCGTCGGAAGTCGTTCAAAGTCTAGTTCCTTTACAGCCTTAGCTCTTTCATATTCAGGTATCGACTTGAGGACTTCTTTGCTATTGCTCATCCACTTTGTGAGACGAAATCCTCCTCGTCGTAGCAGTTCAGTCACTTCAGATGCAGTTCGTATAGCGCCTTCAACAGTACTTGTCGACTTCAGCATGTCATCCACATAGAAGTTCCTATGCACGATGTTCACAATCTCATCATCAAATTCGGTTCGGTTATCGTCAGCTGTTTTTCTGAGTGCAAAATTCGCACAACTTGGCGAAGACGTTGCACCAAAAATGTGGACTAGCATTTGAAAATTTGCTGGCTGTTGACTAAGATCTCCATCAGGCCACCAAAGGAATCTAAGCATGTCACAGTCCTTTGGCTCAACCTTAACTTGCAAAAACATAGCTTCGATATCTGCTGCTAGTGCTAAAGGCTCTTCGCGAAATCTAGTAAGGACGCCTACGAGATTGTTCGTTTGATCAGGTCCTTGCAATAGTTGGTCATTTAATGACATGCCTTTCCATTTGGCGGCGCAGTCGAATACCACGTGTAGCTTCTTGGGGGTAATCACAGCATGGTGGGGTAGGTACCACACTCTCTCTTGGTCAACATTCTCGTTGGGAAGGCGACGGGCATAGCCCTTTGTCAGATGGTCATCTATAACTTCCTTGTATTTCTCATAAAGTCTAGTATCGTTCAGGGATCTTCGCTTTAGTGTCGCAAGTCTAAACTCAGCCATCGGTCGATTGTTCAATGTACAATAACTGCTGTTTCTCCACGGCAGGGCCATTTGGTAGTGACCCTCAGATAAGACCGTGCTTTCCTGCATGATAGACAACGCTCTTTTATCTTCTGCTGACATGCATTCTTCGGAACTTAGTACTGAATCTCCGAAATCAGTCCTCCAGAATCTTTCAACTTGAGCCTTAAGCTCATCATCGTGGGAAGATATGTAGTGTGCGTTCAAGCTTTGTTGATGCGTAGACTCAGTCATCTGACCTACGATGGTCCATCCAAGGAGTGTCTTGACAGCATACGGTTCCTTCCGTTGTCCTCGTTTCTCTTCTAACGCCCAAAAGGCTTCAGGCGTATCATTGCCGATGAGTAAAGTAACTTCATCAGTGTCTATTTCAGGTATTTGTATTTCTGCTAGATGTGGCCACCTACGAACGTCTTCATCTCTGGGTGCACCTTCTGTAGTGATGTGCAATTTTTTGACTGTCCAAACGGTCGGTATCTCGACGACATCGTCTGAGTCAAGAGCTGTAACTTCCAAACTCGCGGTTAATCCCTTTCGCTGAACGTTTGCCTTTTCGATAGTTGTCAATGAGAATGTTCGTTCGGCGCCTTCGACTCCCAGCTGATCAAGTAGACGTTTCTCGCACAATGACGTGTTTGATCCTTGGTCCAAAAGAGCGTAGGTGACAACAGATCTCTGACCTTTCTTTCCACGAACTTTTACGGGCACGATTGGAAGACATACTCTTTTCTCCTTGGCAGGAACATCGACGCTGTTTACGCTATCAGCCTTGACGACATTATAATTCTTAGCACTGTTCGTATTGTTACTTGAATTCTGGCTCGGCTGTTGATTAAGGTTAGAGCTGTTCGGTGAATGCAGCAACGTGTGGTGTTTTCCCTCGCAGGATTCCATTTCACACTGTTTTTTCTGATAACAATTCTTTGCTCTATGTCCTCGCTTAAGGCAGTTGTCACATAACCCTTTGTCTCGAACAAACTTTCACCTTGCGTCTTCTTCTTAAATTCATCGCAGCTTGTGAGAAGATGTACTTGGGCACAAAGACCACACTTTACCTGGTCGTTTGAAGTATATGCGGCCCTCGAAGCTGGTTGTGAATCCTTTGTTGTTGCCGTCACTCTCGGCGTTTCTGCTTGGTGTGTCGCTAGGGTGGTAGCTCTTGGCGGCCTTGGCGTGTTCTGAAACGGTTTACTTCGGGGTCGCATTCTGTCCCTTGACGTGTCCCTTGAGTCCATAATCTGTCCGAAAACAGGGTAATTCGCGGACATATGGTCTATACTGGGTTTTCCTCCTCCGCTTCGTATCACTCTGGCCTTCTCGAGCCACCTAGCATTTAGGTGGACTGGGAAACGTTCTGCTATTTTCTTCAGGTTGTCAGCATTGTTCAAGTCGTCATGATATCCAACGGCACGTAGAGTTAATTCACAATCCTTTAACTTATCGGCGAAAACTCGCAGGCCTTCTCTATCAGACGCCCTCAGCGGGGGTCCCTCAGTTACAAGATCAATGTAGGCCGTGGCGATGGCATTCGCCGAAGGTTCGCCGAATCTTTCAAGCAATAACGTTCGTGCTGTAAGGTAGCCGTCGGTGGAGTCCAATACTATACAGTTCTTGATCACTTCTTTAGCGTTGCCGGTACAATATTGCAGTAAATAATTCAATCGTTCTCCGTTATCCTCAGTCTTTGGTTCAATGTTCTGTTCGTAGTTGCGAATAAACCTCCAGTAGTGTAATGGGTTTCCATCAAAGGTAAATAGCTCTGGTTTAGGAAGAGTTAAAGCGTTGGCCATGGCGCTGGTGATCCTTTCTTGCTGCTTCATCAGTTGACTGAGGACCTTCTCGTCGACTGCTGGCTTAGGTGGTTCATCGTTATTGGTAGTGTCACTTCGACGGTTATCATAATCAGCGACGTAGAACTTGGGTGTGTTCAGTTCCAGCCATGCCTGGGCTGTCGGTGCATACGCAGAATGAACAAACTTCGGTTTGGGCTTCCTGTGTACTACATCAGGTCATTCCTTCGTCGTAAACGGGTTACTTGAACTTCCCTTTGTCGGTGTTGCTAACGAACTGGCAGGCGTCTGGGCCATCGGTGCTGTGAATGGGTTGTTAGTGGCGATCGGTGTTATCGGAGTCGCAAACGGGTTCACAGGGAGACCCTGCCTAAAGTCTGCAATTCTTGTCGATTCCTTTGGGGCACTTCTTGGTGTGAAGCCAAAAGGGTTTGAACCTGGAACACGTCGTCGTCGTCGTAAGATTTGTATAGCTCAACTCGTTCGGCCCTTTCATAGATTTTAGGTTCAGTGTTTCTTCGTTCCATTTCGTGTTGAGCTTTAAGTAATGCGTGTCGACGTTTTATTTTATTAACTTGAATTGCCTCCTCTAACCGCAATTTCATCGTCATCTCTTCAATTCTTTCTTGCAATGCTTGCTATTCCTTCAACTGTCTAATCTTAAGCTCGGCAACAGCTTGATCTGCCCTCGCTTTCAACTTTAACTTCGTTGCTGTACTTGATTGGGAACTTTCATTAGAGCCTGCTTGGCTACTAGAATCGCAGGGTTCGACAAGAGGCAGATCAAAATCAGTGAACGATCTTGAAATTTTGTTCCGTTGGATCCACGAATCAATTTCTCCCTCAATGTCTTTTTTTAGCTTCTAGCCTTCTACTATAAATGACTTCAGCTTCTTCAATATCTAATTGCTCCTTCAAGCATTCCAAGTGCTGTTTACAACACCGTTCGAAGTTATCAAATGTGTTCAATATTTTCTGCTCTATACTCAGCAGAACGGTATCAATATCATTGAAATTCTCTGATTTCATCGCTTCCTTTATATTTCGATAATTCTTCGTCAATTGGCCAATATATCCCGACCTTGAGCGTCTTAGAGCTTCAGCTCTCTCTTCTCTCACTCCGTCACAACTTTCACGATCAGCGACCTTCCTGTGTCTTGCCGGCAGGCTTCCTGTGTCACCATCCATCGCTGCACATGGAAATTCGAGGAATTCACAAGTCGTACAATTCTTGTAACACTCTTCGGAGATGAAATAAACGCTGGATAACTGCAGAATCAAGCTTAATAAATGTCCATCAGTCGGTGAATGACATATGTGAACAATAATGTAGCGGACATCTTCTTGCATTCGGTGGGGACATCGATTCAGTAAAGGGTACACAATTCAAAACGCTCGTCGATTATATCAGCGATTTAATTCTCAATAATCTTGATGTTCTTCAGTTATTTCATTCACAATAGACAGATTTATAATTACGAGGTTCACTAGAAATGAGAGGTTACAAATTAAAAGCCTATATCTTACGGAAAAGCAAATATAGTCTTAACATACCATATGGTGTACGTATTACGATTGTCTTGCTGCCTGTCCCGGCTTACATCCCATGATTTTCAACTTATGAATATTAATAACCTACGCTAATTAAGAAATCAAATAATTGTCGTCTACAGCCTTATAAATATAAATGGCTGTGAGAGGAAAATTGATATTCAGAAACTGGAATCTACTAATTTATTCTCTAATTTCCCGGATGTGTCACTCATTTCTGTGCGATGCGAACGTTTTACAAATCGTACGAATCGAACGGATCGTACGGATAGTGAGGAGAGTGAGCACCCAAGGAAAGCACACTTTAAACTACTTTTGATGTGAGGAAGACCATGAAGTAGCTTTATTAGATAGAGGATTAATAATTCATACGGATGTGTGATCCGTAATGTAATTATCAATTGGAAAAGTTGGTAATCTGATAATGCTTTTACTTATCTTCAYCAATCGTAAAATTTGTACTAAAGTAATATATATATTGGAAATGGTGAAGGTGGTTAAAATGAAATTTAAACAAATTAACGAATGGTACGATCCGTACGAATCGCACGTAATTATCAATTCGTTCGATTCGTCAAACTTAAATTATTTGATGGGCTAGCCGTGAGCATTAATAATCATGTAGGAACATAGCAGACTGAGCATACAAAAGAGTGAAAACATCTTGTTGCCTTAATCTTTATTCACAGGGACTGGAGTTTTCTTTTTACTTGAAAACTTTAAAAAACCTAATACGTAAGGCTATTTACGTTCTACGGCGCTACAGATTATTATGACAGGAGAGCCACCATTACTTTATCTAAAACTTAAAATATAAATACTACTAACAAAAACAGCCTAAAATGTGTAAGAAGTAAGACGCTGGCAGTTAACAATTTTACTTTTTAGTAGAGTATTATATATCTTTTAATGTTTTAAAACTTATATTTGATCTGAGTGGTCTTTACTGTAAAAGGGTGTCGAACAAACAAAGCGTGCATCTGAGTTCGCATCTCCATGACTTTTAGATTTTGGTTATTATTCACCATTTTCCACACATCGGTTCACTGGTCAAACACATGGCATTCAGTCGAGGTTGCAAGGTTCAAATTTGAATAATCCTTTGAAAGTACCTTGACGCCTCGCTTGAGCGCTTTGTGTTTGACCAGTGAACCGATGTATGGAAAATGGTGAATGGTTGTTGTGTCCTTGTGTTACCTTTCGAGCAGAAGTCCTTTTCTAGTCCTTATGTAACATGTTACCGTAAGTCGTACGTAGCTCAAAACATCTATTAAGGTATGGATTCATAGAATCTAAAATATGCATATGTAATATTAAATAGATGTGATATAATGATTGGAGTATAGTAAGAAACAAAGTTCGAAAATACATGATAATGCACGAGAATAACATTAATTTTAGTATCATATGAGACTTACAATGACACAATATTCAAAAAACATTTTATTTAACTACTGAAAATATGGCCCACTAATGTATACCTTTTAAGATAACAGCGTAATTCATATATGATTTGATGTTGATTTTGACATGATTTTCGAGCGTGGTTTATAACGATCCATTTACATTTGATAACAGGGTAATTCCTATAGGATTTGATGGTTATTTTGACGTAATATTTCAAAGCCGACAATGAGGA